AGCTTGATGAAATTGTCGTCATTATGAATCAGATGGAAAAAATGACAAACAGATTCAAAAGTATTTCCAAATGCTAACATTATTACAACGAAAATTGCGTATCCACCACAAGTAACTTCTGATAGCTTCTGAGGTTTGTCCACATTTACTTTCACTTTTCCATATCGGCCAAGATAATTTTTTACAAAGTGATTCATCTTGTAACCGAGGCTACAGAAAAAGTGTGCTTTTCCATTTTTGACAAAGACAACTTGCCAATGTGTACCCGGTTTGTTATGTGGATCGGTATTCACAATGAAAATGAAGCTTTTTCTACGACACTTTGGTATTCTATCTGCACTGAACACGCCTAGAAAAATTTTTTGCACGCGTGGAATAGAATTTAGAAACGCGGCAATCTCTGCTGTGAACATTGGCAACACTGATTATTCTTTACTGTTGCAGTCTGCTGTGCGGTCATGCCTCACTTTATTATTAATGAAGACGAAACTGAATGGTCTGATTTACTTTTTCAACAAGCCGGTGGTGCACCGTTTGTTGGTATGTTATACCAACGTGGGATCCAACGAGGAAATGGACTCGGCGGAATATTAGCCACAATTGCATCATTCCTGCCACGACTAATAAAGTCACCGATTGGCCAAAAACTACTAAATGTTGGTAAAAGTGTTATATCTGAAGCTGTTCTGGATACACCTGCTGCAAAGTCAGTTATTGGTCAAGAACTCGTAAACTCTGGAAAAAATATTGTCGATAGTATTATGAGTGGTAATAGCGTAAAGGATAGTTTAAAGACTGCCGGTCGATCAGCTGTACGCAACTTGACTGGGCTAGGCAAAAGACGTCACGCGACACGCGGCAAGCCTCATAATCAAAAGTGTACCCGTCGGGAACGGTCGTATCGTTTCTAGAATGGTTAAACTTATTGATCAACACTCTGCCCAATCCCTTTTACCTAATATTAATTTTAGTGATATCCCCCCTTCTGCTTTGGGCGTAGAGTCTACTAATATTGTTCAAATTCCTTTGAAAAATTCCTTTTT